ACATCATAAACTAGTACATATCAATAACAATCATTCTTCTATAAACCAAGTCTCTCATATTAGACATATTATCCAAAACTTTTTCTTTTCCTGAAAGAAAATTGCAACAACAAGTTTGATTTAGTGAATAATTATAATTTTAATATGCATTAAATTATTATGTCAATGATATACATAAATGACCAAAAGAAAATGAAGTTCATTTATTAATAAAACTTTAAACTTAAATTTTAAATTTATCCTTCCTCATTTCACTTTAAGTATTTACTGTTTTCACCTCTTTAAGAATCATAACATAATTATTAACATAACTAACAAATGTACCGGAAAGTACCATAAAAATTATGCCTGTAGGTACTCTAAAAAATTATATACTTGAATGTACCTTCAAATTGTACCCGAAGGCACACCTTTTCCATTTTCTTTAATGTGCAAGGGACCATCTCATCCGTTATCAGTAAATCTGGGGGTAATATTGTATGACTTAAACCTTTAATTTTCAATTCATATAAATTTAAAATCATTTAATGTATCTTCATATGTCTGTTATTTTCTTCTTCTTTGTAATACAATCTCAGGCTTCTAAAATACAAAATATGAATGAAATACTTATTTTAAATCATTTAATCAAACAATTATTCATTTAATAAAATATTAATTTAATGCATAAGAGAAAATAATCACTCCCTATTGTCTTAAAAGACTTCTAAAATATTTATTCCTTCATTGCACTACCCCTAACACTTTGAACTCTCATTGTACTTTAATTCAATTGTCTAATAATATAAATTAATAAAATAAATTCATGAAAATTGTTGATATGAAATTACCATCTTTTATTTAAACTAATTTATAGAGTTAACATATGAAACTTATACATATATAATAAAAAATGTAATAGATTAAAATACTATAATAAAACTTAGTTAACTATTTACTCGAATCGATCTCTCTCAGCTTGCACACGTCACATAATTCTCCTTCCAAGTCGAAAATCTCTATATTAGGGTTCAAATTCAATTTGACATTGCATTAAACAGTCATATATATACTAATTTACTTAATAAACTTTCAATTCAATCTTTATTACACATCTCACCTAGTCGGCTGCTCCATTCGCAAGCTCAAAGCTCCTCTTTCCCACAGAACGAGAGCTTCTTCCACTTTTGCTTTCAGTCGCTACTCGACCTAGAACAACGCTGCGAATCTCTTTTTCCCTCGATCTCCTTCCTCATCTCCTTCAGTCATGGATTCCTTTGCATGCGCAGGCAGCACGGCTTCCTCCCTTCTCCTTCGATTTTCATCAAGCACAAATAAGTCACTCAACCCCTCGGCTAGAGCACAACAAAGAATCTCTCTCTCGATCTCTATGTTGTTCCTCTAGCTCGCTCTTCTGCTTCAAATGAGGAGAAATGCGAAAGATCATGCCTTTTGATTCCTGTGAGGGGGTTGTGACTCTAATCATCGCCGCTCTTTATTTTTATTAATTTATTATTATTTTTGTTATTACTATTATTATTTTCTTAGTTTTGTTGTTGTTGTTGTTGTTTTTATTGTAAAAAAGATCCTCTAGTATTTTGAAATCATGCCGAGCTTGGCTACATACGTAAGAATCCTTTTTATTGTATTTCTTTTATAATATATTTTTCTATATTTTATTGTGTTCTGGTGGAAAAGACAAAAATGTGTCCTTATGACGAACAAGAAAGATCAATAAGGTGCTAGATGGATGGAAGATTGCCCCAAGATAAAAGCATACTGTGAATGCTTCTTTGCTTGGAGGAATGATTTTTTATTTAGTGGATGTAATATAGGAATCTTAAGTGTAATGGATATCTAAGCATAAACATAAGCTTTGGCCAAACCATTTAAAGATCATTATACGGTTGCTTGGTCTCGTTATATAATTTAAATTCTATGCTTAATGACAAACTTCTCATATTCCACAAATGAATCAGTAATTTTTTTAAAATAAGCTTATATCATATAATCTGCATTTAATGTTTAAAATTTATTCTCAACTTTAATTTTATCTAAAAATCAAGGTTAAAAATGTTTTTATAAAAAAAAAGCTTTTATATTTAAAAGATTAACTCCAATTCAAAACCCGTGCCCCTCCCCCTCCCCCAATTCTCCTCCGCCACGAAAAGCCTCTCTAGTGCTAGTGTAAACACATAGCTCTTAATTTGTAAGAAGCTTGAAAAGAATTAGAACACTTATAAGTTCAAAACTCAAGCAAACAAATAATATCCAATGTATTGTAATAATTCACAAGTGTTTCTACTTCATAGGCTACGAACAATCCTGATAAGTTTCTAGCGGCCTAAATCTCAGGAAATTAAAACAATTCGAGTTGTCGATAATTTTACATCTTTTAATTCTTATCGACTACTAAAAAATATAAGAAAATCAAAAGACAAGTACACATATAATTGCTCGCATCACATGACAAATTTGACATAGTTCCAAGAACTTGTCACGTGTCGAACCAACTTAAGCTTAGATAAAATACTCAAATGTTGATTGCACTAGATTCAAAGCTCGATCGATTTATAGAAAGCCATTCATTATTCATACTATTATTGTTGAATATAAATTTTGAAGCCAAATTGTTGATCTCAACCGAACAAGCCATAGACTTTGCTTGTTTAGCAAACTTTCTAGCTTAACCGACTTCAGCTTTTGTTGACCACTTGGATTTTCTAATAAAATTGTAATCTTATATTGCCAATCTTGTGGTGTTGGTTTTGATCCTTACCTAAAAATAGGAGTCAAATGTTGGGCATGGGCTGTAAGAACTTTGGTTGTGAATTGTACGTAAGACGAGGCACACGATAGAAACATAATCAAGTGCATTTTTAGTCAATCCATGATTCAAAGATTTCTTTCTCTCCTTCTCTCGCAAAACTCATCTATGTTATGATTTTTCTTTAGATTGAATCCTACATAGCAGGTCTCCTAAGAGATCAAAGCGATCAAATCCCTACTTAACCCATCATGCATCCCTATTGTGTATGTAATCTCAAGGCATAGCCATACTTCACCAGACACCCTTGAAACCAACATCCATTCAAAACCAGGGCCTATACACACTTTTGGACGATGTCAAATCATTCCTCTGAACTACTTTGCTTTGGACTAGAACTTTTGTTTTCATCCCTCGGTTAGTTCAGATTTTTTTATCTAGGAATACTTTAAGCATAAGATAATTGTTGTCTTCAGAAAATCATTCCTTGAAAGCAATTCAGATTATGTTGATATGGATTTCTTCTCTCTTTTGGGTTTCATCTCTCTCTCTCTTTTTGTGTGTGTGTGTGTGTGTCTATATATATCTATATCTATATATGTATATA